AGGCTCCCGTGGGCTTGGCACGACCCTGTTCCTCTCCATGCCCGGCATCGAGTGGGCGGCGCCATCACTGGCTGCTCCTGAGCGCTGTCCCACGCTGTCGTTCTGTGTCGGTGTGCCTGATGAAATGACGATCGGCTCCTCCGATTGTGCAGATGCATTTGCAGGTGCGTGTGGTGGCGCCGGAGTATTCACCGTGGAGTGCTGACGCGCGGAGTCACGTTCCGCCGTGAGTGTCGCAATTTCGAGCGCCGATTCTTCGACTTGGGGCACGAGACGGTCGAGTTGCCCCATGGCGGGGGTGTCGGGCAAGCTCAGCGAGAGCCTCTGTCGTGGCCGTGCGTGCTTACGAGAGAGCACTACGAGCGGCGGTGCTGTGTCGCTGAGAGACGTCTACCCCCCCCCCAAAAAAATGAGATAGTGGGGAAACAAAGGTGTGGGTGCGGTCCGAGAAAGGATCGTAGGCTCTGAATACCAAGTGTTACGAGTGCAATTGAGTGAGCGAGCGAGAATTGCACTATCGAAGCAAAAGTACAATGAGCGAAGGCATGAGCGAAGAATATATAGCGAAACTACAGTGGTAACGGTAATGAACCGTGGGTGACGCGCGACGGGCCTGGAACCGAGGTTTGGGAAAATGTCGAGGCGGAGGCCCGGAGCGCGGGTTACCCGCCGAGCCGTGAGGTCGGGGTGCGGCGTGCGAAGGTGGCGGGAGGATTGTCTATTGGAAACAAGTGAATTAAGCGCCTCTGTCGCGTCGAAACACTAAGTCGCAAACGAAGCAAAACACAGTGATGCATTAGCGAGTCAACCCTCGGAGGTTAAGTAACTGCTGGAGGTTACGCAAAAGTCAAAGGTCAGCGACCTTTGACCTGACAAATACAGCGCGACAGCAAGGACAAACAACTGACTCGTTATTGAGCAGTTGCCCGAGTCGTCACTGTATCGAACCGCAACAGCAATAGTGAAACGGGTATTAACTGTATCTCTTCGTATTCCTTGTACTCTTATAAAAGCTTGTATCTCTTTGCTTTAATCAATCTACTTTGCCCTCACATACCAGCGCAAGGTGGTTCACAATCCATGATTGAGGTTGGCACATGCCTCAATCTTCCGAGCAAAGACATGGCTTTCGAGGCTTTCGTTGCCTGGCTCCGAGTAGCAGAACGAGAATCTGGCGTGAAACTGAAAAGCTTCCAGTCAGACGGAGGAGGAGAATACACCTCACAAAGGTTCAAGCAGTACTTTGCAGAAAGAGGGATCAAGCGGCTCATCTCCCTTCCCTACGTTCACCAGCAGCAAGGCGTAGCAGAAAGGATGAACAGGACTCTCCAGAACACCATGCGCAAGCTGCTACGTGGCATGCGGCTACCCAACCACCAATGGCCTTAGTCTCTGAGCTTGTTAACTTTGCTGGTGCCTGTCGTCTAGACTACGCTGCGAGTCTTGTTGCTGAGTCTGAGTCTGTCTGTCCTCCGTCCGTCGGGGGTGAGTGTGTCTTGCAGCCGCTGCAACTCATCTCGTGGCCATGCTGCTTGCCCCTGAGGGAGACCCGGATGCACCAGACATCCCGACTCCGCGTTCTTACGCTGAGGCGATCGCGGGTCCCTACTCCTCTCAGTGGCAGACAGCCATGGACGCAGAGATGGCATCCTGGAAGTCCACAAGCACTTACGTTGATGAGGTTCCCCCTCCTGGGGCGAACATCGTTGATGGCATGCGGATTTTCAAGGTGAAGCGGCCGTCGGGTTCTCCGCCTGTCTTCAAGGCTCGTTACGTTGCACGAGGCTTCAGTCAGCGAGAGGGAGTTGACTTCTTCCAGACCTTCTCCCCCACCCCGAAGATGACCACTCTTCGAGTGTTGCTGCACGTTGCCGCTCAGCGTGACTACGAGCTTCACTCTCTGGACTTCAGCACAGCGTTCTTACAGGGCAGTCTGCACGAGGAGATCTGGCTGCGCCGCCCACCTGGCTTCACTAGGTCGTTCCCTCCTGGTACTCAGTGGAGCCTCCGTCGGCCAGTCTACGACCTCCATCAGGCGCCTCGTAAGTGGCACGACACACTGAGGACGACACTTGCGGCTCTTGGGTTTGCCCCTTCCACTGCTGATCCGTCGCTGTTTCTATGCACCGACACTTCACTACCGCCGTTCTACATCCTCGTGTACGTCGACGACTTGGTCTTTGCCACTGCTGACACTGAGGCTCTCGCCCTTGTGAAGTCGGGGCTGCAGAAGAGACATACGTGCACAGACTTGGGTGAGCTGCGCAGTTACCTTGGCTTGCAGATCACCCGGGACAGAGCACGCCGCACCATCACACTGACTCAGTCACACATGGTGCAGCAGGTCCTTCAGCGCTTCGGCTTCACTTGGTCCTCGCCACAGTCCACTCCTCTGGCTACAGGCCACTCGCTCTCAGCTCCACCTTCGTACGAGTCCGTAGAGCCGAGTGGCCCGTACCCAGAGCTAGTGGGCTGCCTCATGTACCTGATGACCTGCACTCGTCCTGACCTTGCGTACCCTCTTGGCCTTCTGGCACGCTACGTGGCTCCTGTTAGGCACCGAAAGGTGCACATGGATGCTACGAAGATGGTATTGCGCTACTTGTGCAGTACATCGGGCATGGGGCTCGTGCTTGGAGGGCGGAGCTCATTTGTCCTCACTGGACACTCAGACACTTCTTGGGTTGACGACTTGGCTACGCAGCGGTCGTCACAGGGTTACACTTTTAGCCTTGGCTGCGGCTCTGTTTCTTGGCGGTCTACCCGCTCGTCTTTTGTTCTCAGCTCATGTTGTGAGGCTGAGATCTACGCTGGGGCCATGGCTGCACAGGAGTTACGCTGGCACACCTACCTGCTGACCGACTTGGGAGTGCAGCCTCGTTCTCCTCCAGTTCTGTACGTAGACAACAAGGCCGCCATTGCCTTGTGTCAGGAGCACAGACTGGAGCACAGAATGAAGGACATCGCTCTGCGTTACTTCCTGGCTCGAGAGTTGCAGCAGCATGGTCAGCTTCGTCTTCCTCACGTGGCCACTCGGGCCAACACTGCTGATATATTCACCAAGGCACTTTCGTCCTTGTGATCATCAGCGCTTCTGTATTATGTTAGGCCTTGTGCTTTTTTCGTCTCACTTGCTCACTTCGTGACTTTGCTTGTACTGTGATCTATATACATATATATCTGCATGTTTGCTCTTGCTAGGTAGTGATCACTGTATTGTTGTTGCTGCATATATACCTCTGCATGTGAACTGGCCTTGTGGCCTTTTGCTTGTGCTCGGAGTGTGTGGTGACGTTGTGATCCACCCTGATCTTGCTTTGTTTTTCTGGACTGGTCTTGTGACCCCTTGTTCTCCCCCACTTTGCCTATGGGGCTGTGTCAAACTATATATGTGTTAGTTTTGTGTAGGCTATAGTGGGGGACAACACAAAGTTAGGGTTAGTACTTGTACCCACATTTTATTCAATGCAACCATTCTGCTTGCTATCTTGACAGGGCGCGCTACCCGCGGGGCGCGCTGCCTGCGGGGCGCGCTACCCGCGGGGCGCGCTACCTGTGCGGCGCGCTACCTGCGGGGCTGGGGCGACGGGCCAGGGCGACGGGCCAGGGCGCGGGCTGGGGCGACGGGCTAGGGCGCGGGCTGGGGCGAGGGGCTAGGGCGCGGGCTGGGGCGACGGGCCAGGGCGCGGGCTGGGGCGACGGTCTAGGGCGCAGGCAGGGGCGACGGGCTAGGGCGCGGCCCTGGGGACGGGCTAGGGCGCGGGCTGGGGCGACGGGCTAGGGCGGGCGCCTGGGCGACGGGCTAGGGCGGGCGCCTGGGCGACGGGCTAGGGCGGGCGCCTGGGCGACGGGCTAGGGCGGGCGCCTGGGCGACGGGCTAGGGCGGGCGCCTGGGCGACGGGCTAGGGCGGGCGCCTGGGCGTCTGGCTAGGGCGGGCGCCTGGGCGTGGGCCTGGGCGACGGGCTAGGGGCGCAGGCTAGGGGCGCGGAGGGCGCTAACGCGCGGAAGGGGGAGGGAGGCGCGGAGATGGCGCAGAAGGCGCGGAGGCTAAGGCGCGGAGGGCGCGGAGGGCGCTAGGGCGCGGAGGGCGCAAGGGCGCGGAGGGCACTAGGGCGCGAGCTAGGCTAGGCTAGGCGAGAGGATCGACACCTTCTCATGATACAATCTCAAAGTTAGCGAACAACGGAATGGATGAACTAGCAAAGTGTTGGATACAAATAGGAAACCCTAGCATCTGTACCCTCTAGAATGCATCTCACTACAGCCTATAACTATTATATTTGACATGGTGTACCGAGAAGTGCACAGCTGCAGCGTCGTTCCATTGTTGACGACCTACGTACCGACTTCAATGTCACCAGTGTACTGTTATCTTTTGATGTACTTAGCTATACAATTAGGTACAACTTTTAATAAACTCCAATCCATCCAGTGTTCATACACCACTTACATGGCCATGCCATATGCCCTCCTCAATAGCTCAGGTCAGCAGCAGCAACCCGGCAGCCCTATCCATGGAAATCATAAGGCATACTGCCACTGATATATTCCCCCCCCAAAACCCAAACCAAGCCCAGCCCATCCAACAATCTTTATGGGGGCACTATTAAAGACCTGGTAAGGAATGGAGGTGCTGCCTTGTGTCCTGATTTGGTGGTAAGGACATTCCTTGTGTCTTGAATCCTGATGATGCCATTTACCAGGGTATTGGTTTGTGGCCTAGGCCTCCAAATGAGAGACATCTACCAGAAATGATGGGTTGGAGGCTGATTGAAATTCTGCCATGCTTTAAATAAAGGCACAGTCTATAAAATAGGAGGCTTTTCCTAGGTAAGACCAGAAGGTAACAAGGCAGAGTGATACGGAACAGTAAAGAAAATTGGGCTAAGTATCCAACTATGCAACAGACAAGATTCTACATACATGATACAACAGCGAAAATTTTGAGGCGCCTAAAAAACAGAACTTCTTGCAGAGACGATTTTGCAGGTACTGTATTTCACTTCTTTCCGCCCTTGCCACCCTTTCCCCCCTTCCCTCCCTTTCCACCCTTGCCGCCCTTTCCCCCCTTTCCTGCCTTCACACCAATCTTTGAGAAAGTGCTGTCTCCCACATTCTGAAGAGTAGTAATCCCTCCAGATCCCCCGCCAGATCCCCCCTGATCTCCGCCAGAACCACCCTGCTGCCCACCGGTTCCCCCCTGCTCCCCACCAGCACCTCCCTGTTGTCCGCCAGGTGCCTGCTGTCCGCCCTGCTGTCCGCCCTGCTGTCCACCCTGCTGCCCGCCAGGTACGCCCTGCTGCCCACCCTGCTGCCCGCCAGGTCCGCCCTTCTGCCCGCCAGGTCCGCCCTGCTGCCCGCCAGGTCCGCCCTGCTGCCCGACAGGTCCGCCCTGCTGCCCGCCAGGTCCGCCCTGCCCGCCCTGCTGCCCGCCAGGTCCGCCCTGCTGCCCGCCCTGCTGCCCGCCAGGTCCGCCCTGCTGCCCGACAGGTCCGCCCTGCTCCCCGCCCTGCTGCCCGCCAGGTCCGCCCTGCTGCCCGCCAGGTCTGCCCTGCTGCCCGCCCTGCTGCCCGCCAGGTCCGCCCTGCTGCCCGCCCTGCTGCCCACCAGGTCCGCCCTGCTGCCCGCCCTGCTGCCCGCCCTGCTGCCCGCCCTGCTGCCCGCCAGGTCCGCCCTGCTGCCCGCCCTGCTGCCCGCCAGGTCCGGCCTGCTGCCCACCGGGTCCGCCCTGCTGCCCGCCCTGCTGCCCGCCAGGTCCGCCCTGCTGCTCGCCCTGCTGTCCGCCAGGTCCGCCCTGTTGTCCGCCTTGCTGTCCACCGGGACCGCCCTGCTGTCCGCCGGGACCGCCCTGCTGTCCGCCGGGACCGCCCTGCTGTCCGCCGGGACCGCCCTGCTGTCCGCCGGGACCGCCCTGCTGTCCGCCGGGACCGCCCTGTTGTCCGCCGGGACCGCTGTTGTCCGCCAGGTCCGCCCGCTGTCCGCCAGGTCCGCCGCTGCCGCCGCTCAGATCTTCCCCGTTGCCACCGCCCAGATCTCCGCCGCTGCCGCCCTGCTGTCCGCCCTGCTGTCCGCCGGAACCGCCCTGCTGTCCGCCAGGACCGCCCTGCTGTCCGCCGGGACCGCCCTGCTGTCCGCTGGGACCGCCTTGCTGTCCGCCGGGACCGTCCTGCTGTCCGCCTGGACCGCCCTGCTGTCCGCCTGGACCGCCCTGCTGTCCGCCGGGACCGCCCTGCTGTCCGCCGGGACCGCCCTGCTGTCCGCCTGGACCGCCCTGCTGTCCGCCTGGACCGCCCTGCTGTCCGCCGGGACCGCCCTGCTGTCTGCCAGGACCGCCCTGCTGTCCGCCGGGACCGCCCTGCTGTCCGCCGGGACCGCCCTGTTGTCCGCCGGGACCGCTGTTGTCCGCCAGGTCCGCCCGCTGGCCGCCAGGTCCGCCGCTGCCGCCGCTCAGATCTTCCCCGCTGCCACCGCCCAGATCTCCGTCGCTGCCGCCCTGCTGTCCGCCCTGCTGTCCGCCGGGACCGCCCTGCTGTCCGCCAGGACCGCCCTGCTGTCCGCCGGGACCGCCCTGCTGTCCGCCGGGACCGCCCTGCTGTCCGCCGGGACCGCCCTGCTGTCCGCCAGGACCGCCCTGCTGTCCGCCTGGACCGCCCTGCTGTCCACCGGGACCGCCCTGCTGTCCGCCGGGACCGCCCTGCTGTCCGCCAGGTCCGCCGCTGCCGCCGCCCAGATCTCCCCCGCTGCCGCTGCCCAGATCTCCGCCGCTGCCGCCCTGCTGTCCGCCCTGCTTTCCGCCGGGACCGCCCTGCTGTCCGCCGGGACCGCCTTGCTGTCCGCCTGGACCGCCCTGCTGTCCGCCTGGACCGCCCTGCTGTCCGCCTGGACCGCCCTGCTGTCCGCCGGGACCGCCCTGCTGTCCGCCGGGACCGCCCTGCTGTCCGCCGGGACCGCCCTGCTGTCCGCCTGGACCGCCCTGCTGTCCGCCTGGACCGCCCTGCTGTCCGCCGGGACCGCCCTGCTGTCCGCCGGGACCGCCCTGCTGTCCGCCAGGTCCGCCGCTGCCGCCGCCCAGATCTCCCCCGCTGCCGCCGCCCAGATCTCCGCCGCTGCCGCCCTGCTGTCCGCCCTGCTTTCCGCCGGGACCGCCCTGCTGTCCGCCGGGACCGCCTTGCTGTCCGCCTGGACCGCCCTGCTGTCCACCTGGACCGCCCTGCTGTCCGCCTGGACCGCCCTGCTGTCCGCCGGGACCGCCCTGCTGTCCGCCGGGACCGCCCTGCTGTCCGCCGGGACCGCCCTGCTGTCCGCCGGAACCGCCCTGCTGTCCGCCGGGACCACCCTGCTGTCCGCCGGGACCGCCCTGCTGCCCGCCAGGTCCGCCCAGATCTCCGACGCTGCCGCCGCCCAAATCTCCACCGCTGCCGCCGCCTAAATCTCCGCCAGAGCCGCCTCCCAAATCGCCGCCGCTGCCACCGCCCGAATCGCCGCCGCCGCCCAAATCGCCGCCGCTGCCGCCGCCAAGATCTCCGCCAGAGCCGCCACCCAGATCTCCGCCAGAGCCGCCGCCCAAATCATTAACAGCCAGCAACATCGGTTTGGTTGTTGTCACCTTGAGGAGCGAGAGGGGTTTGAGAGCGAGACTTCGGCGCGGAGCGAGGACCCTCGCAGTTGCTGCGCAGGCAGAAAACAAACGTCGAATTATATCCGTTATATCGGATCCGTCGGAACCAAAGGCAGAGAACATGGCGGAATTGAAGGAGGAAAAGCAAGAATGCGCGAAAAGAGGCAGGCTATCAGAGGAGAATAAGAAGAGCGAAGTGATGCAATCGAAGAGACAATATGGATACGAAATGTAACACGCGAAGTGAGGGGCTCACCTGGCGCGACAATCACCGACGCCGCTAAAAACGCGAGCAGAAGAGGCAACGCCGTGCCTTGCATTTTGCAGCCCATCGTGCAGGAATGGATCTCTCTGGGAACTTCTCAGGCAGGTACGAAAAATGGGGAAATATGGGTGACAAGCTCGAATTACGAGAAGGCTGAGGTGACGGGAGGGCTGAAAATCGGAGTGAAATGTCTCGAAGGTGGTGAGGGGGATGCTGCTGCTGATGTGACGGATGAATGCGCATTTTTATAGTGTGGTGGAAACGCGGCTCGAAAGCGTTTTTGCTATGTGTGATGGAGGGATGCGATTGGTTTTGGCGGGATGATGTATTTCCCGCCAGGTCAAATCCGCGACTTGCGCCTTCAGCTCAGGTTTCGCAGGAACATTTCAAGAACAGGGAGATGAGGCAAAATGTGTTCGCGAAGGGTTACAATTCAGACCTGCGACGCCAGGATAACTCGCAATTGCGCTTCCGACTGTTCCGCCGTGCTGTTTGGCCATGCACACCACTGTGGGCCCACACCTGCCCAACTGTTGAAGTTCGTTGACCGCTTGGGAAAGCGGTTGACGCGGGAGGCCCGCGGATTGCGCATGTGCAACGACATGCCATGACATGAACATGAAACGCCAAGATGTGTCTCAACTCAATTTAGGGCGTGACCAGCGCGTACACTTTGTGTTTGTTTTTACTAAAATTGTCATATTTACATCCACAGAACCTGCATGATTGTTGAAGTGCGTTGACCGCGGGCATGGGAAAGCGGATGACGCGGCAGGCCCGCGGGTTCCGCAATTGAAACAACATGCCATGAAGGTGAAACGCTTACATGAACCAGCATGACAAGATTGGGTGTCTATTACGAGTGCAATTGAGTGAGCGAGCGAGAATTGCACTATCGAAGCAAAAGTACAATGAGCGAAGGTGTAAGGAATTTTCTCAATATTCCTTAGCGCGCCCTGCAACACCGCGTACAGCAGCAGCCGTTGTTCGCTCGTTACTGCTAACGGGGCTTCGCTGACTTCGCGCGCACTGTTTCACCAAACCTCGCACTACTGGACCGGCCGTGTCGGCCTACGCTTCGGGACTAGCCCGAGCCTCGCTGCCAGCGTAGCACTAGCTAGCTCGCACGCACCGCGTTACCGTTTGCATGTTTCGTGTATAAATGTTCGCTCATGCCGTCGCTCACATTTTGTACTCGTTTGACACCTTCGTGCAATTCTCGCTACTTCGATTCATTGCACCCGTAACACTTGGTATTCAGAGCCTCTTTCTTTTCGGACCGCGCATCTCCGCACCCCAGGAAATCAACTTTTGATTTTTCCACTCGAAGGGACTCACGCACCTTAGTTCCTAGGAGCCACTGTCCTCGCATTCTCGCGTAAACGCGTGCAGCCAAGACTGCACCTAGACTAAGCCGAGCCGACGTCCTTCGCAATGGCTGAGCATATCGATGTCGCCACTCTCACACAGGAGCACTTGAACGAACTGCTGCGGCAAATCCGCGAAAGCTCTGAAGAAATCGCGGCGCTGACGGCAAAACACACGTCCCTGCAAAACGACATCGCAAGAGCACAGCAAGCGCAATCCCAAGCACCTGGCACTCCAATATAGCCCGCACCTCAGACATCGCAACATGGAAGCGTGGGGCAACCCGCGAGCGCGGCCAGTGATGGCGTCGTCCGCCACGACCGAGACGACGACCATGGCACGACACACCCCAACGCAACGAATGCGGCCAGGAATCAGCCTCGAGTCACGATTTCCATGCCGGCCGGCGAATCAACTCTACCGTCGCCGATGCCGCTGAAGCCGCAGCGTCCGCCGTGTTTTGACCCGAGTCAACGGGGTGGTCCTACCGTTCAGGTGTGGCTATTCACGTTGAACGTTTTCTTCGACGCGAATTACGTCTCGGAGGATACGGCGAAGATTCGTTACGCCATGTCCTTGTTAAGAATGAGGAATGAATGAACTAGGAAAGAGGTGGGTACAAGTAGGAAACCTAGAAATGTTGTACCCCATATAGTCTACCCCACTACAGCCTACACAGACTATAGCATATAAGTTTGACACACCCCCATAGGCAAAGTGGGGGAGAACAAGAGGTCACAAGACCAGTCAAGCAAAGCAAAGCAAGCTCAGGGTGGATCACAACGTCACCACACAATCCGAGCACAAGAGCAAGGCCAAAAGGCCAGTTCACATGCAAGATCATATATAAAGGTAAACAAGCAAGTGCAGGTATAGAAAGATCACAGTACAAGCAAGGTCAAGAAGTGAGCAAGTGAGGCCAAGTAGGCACAAGACCTAGCATCGTACAGAAGCGCTGATGATCACCAGGCGGAAGTGCCTTGGTAAAGATATCAGCAGTGTTGGCCTCAGAGGCCACGTAAGCAAGGCGCAGCTGACCACGCTGCTGCAGCTCACGAGCAAGGAAGTAGCGAAGAGCAATGTGCTTCGTTCTGTGCTCCAGTCTGTGCTCCCGACACAAGGCCAGCATGGCCTTGTTGTCTACGTACACAACTGGAGGAGAACGAGGTGGCTCTCCTAGGTCAGTCAGCAGGTAGGTGAGCCAGCGTAGCTCCTGTGCAGCCATGGCCCCCGCGTAGATCTCAGCCTCACAGCTGGAGCCGAGAACAGAAGACGAGCGGGTAGACCGCCACGAAACAGAGCCGGAGCCAAGGCTGAAGGTGTGACCCTGTGACGACCGCTGCGTAGCCTGGTCGTCAGCCCAAGAAGCGTCTTCGTGACCTGTGAGGACCACTGGACGTCGCCCTCCAAGCACTAGCCCCATGCCCGACGTACTGCACAAGTAGCGCAACACCCTCTTCGCTGCAGCCATGTGCTCTGGTCGGTGTCTCCCAGGAGCAACATAGCGTGCCAAGATGCTAAGAGGGTATGCTAGGTCAGGTCGTGTGCAGGTCATCAGGTACATGAGGCAGCCAACAAGCTCAGGGTACGGGCCACTCGGCTCTACGGACTCATCCGAAGGCAGAGCTGAGAGCGAGTGGCGAGTAGACAGAGGAGTGGCCTGAGGTGAGGAGTACGTGAAGTCGAAGCGCTGAAGGACCTGCTGCACCATATGTGACTGAGTCAGGGTAATGGTGCGCTGTGCTCTGTCCCGGGTGATCTGCAAGCCAAGGTAGCTGCGCAGTTCATCTAGGTCTGTGCACGTGTGTCTCTTCTGCAGCTCGGACTTCACGTGGGCGAGTCCAGCAGTGTCAGCAGTGGCAAAGACCAAGTCGTCGACGTACACGAGGATGTAGAACGGCGGCAAGGAGGTGTCGGTGCGCAGAAACAGCGACGGGTCGGCAGTAGACGGAGCAAACCCAAGAGCTGCAAGTGTAGTCCTCAGTGTGTCGTGCCACTCACGGGGCGCCTGGCGGAGACCGTAGACTGGCCGCCGGAGGCTCCACTGGGTACCAGGAGGAAACGAACCAGTGAAGCCAGGTGGGCGGCGCAGCCAGATCTCCTCGTGCAGGCTGCCCTGCAGGAAAGCTGTGCTGAAGTCAAGAGAGTGAAGCTCGTAGTCGCGCTGAGCGGCTATGTGCAGCAGCACCCGAAGAGTGGTCATCTTCGGGGTGGGAGAGAAGGTCTGAAAGTAGTCAACTCCCTGCCGCTGACTGAAGCCTCGAGCCACGTAACGCGCCTTGAAGACAGGCGGAGAACCCGGCGGCCGCTTCACCCTGAAAATCCACATGCCACTGACGATGTTCGCCCCAGGTGGGGGAACCTCGTCGACGTAGGTGCCTGTGGACTTCCAGGAAGCCATCTCTGCGTCCATGGCTGACTGCCACTGTGAGGAGTAGGGACCCTCGATCGCCTCAGCGTACGATCGAGGAGTCGGGATGTCTGGTGCATCCGGGTCTCCCTCAGGGGCAATCAGCGTGGACACGAGATGAGGCAAAGTAGCAGCAAAACACTGGAACTCCTCCTGCCTGTCCTCAAGGACGTCCGTGCTAAGAGCACACTCACCCCCGACGGACGGAGGACAGACAGACTCAGACTCAGCAACGAGACTAGCGGCGTAGTCTAGACAACAGCGAGCAGCAAAGTCGACAAGCTCAGCAACGAAGGCAGACGCAACATTGGACTCAAAGGAAGGGTCAGTGACAACAGTGGCCAGGAGACGCGTGACAGTAGGACTGGCAGCACGAAGAGAGTCAGACTCCTGGTCAGCAAGAACAGGAAGAGAGGACTATGGAGGAGACGGCAACGGGACACGCAGAGGAGCAGTGAAAGGACGCAGTGCCATCTGGTGTGTGCTTGGGACCGCAGGAGGACGCGGACGCGGAGCACGACGACTAGTGCGAGCAGCACGAACAGGCGACGCAGGAAGAGACGCAGGCTCACGACGCTCAGCAAGACCTCCAGTAGGACCAGTGTAGTGAGAAGGAGCAGGTAGGGGGGAGGCGGGCTGTAACTGTGACCGCGACTGGACAGGCGGTGGACACTCTAAGGGAGGAGCAGGACCAGTAGAGGGCGGGAGACCAAGAACCTGCTCAAGGAGCGGAACGTAGTACGGCCTCGGCCGCGCAGCGCCTCCAGAACCAGCAGGGACAGCACCAGTACCCCCAGCGGCAGCACCAGCGCCAGCAGCACCTCCAGCTCCAACAGCGCCAACTCCAGCACCCTCAGAAGCACCAGCGCCAGCAGAACCACCAGCGCCAACACCCCCAGCAGCTCCAGCTCCAGCAGCTCCAGCAGAACCAACTCCAGCAGGACCGTCAGCTCCAGTACCGCCAGCAGCTCCAGCAGTACCTCCAGCAGAACTAACTCGAGCAGCAGCCCCAGCAGCACCCCAAGTCCCAGCAGCTCCAGTACCGCCAGTACGAGGACCTCCAGGACCAGCAGCAACAGTAGTACCTCCAGCTCCAGCAGCACGGCTCCAGCGCCGGGCAAACCACTCGCGCAGCTCCTGCGGAGAGAGTAGCTCCCGCCTCGACGAAGCACCGCGAGAGGCCACACGAGCAGACCCAGCACCCCCAGGCTCCGCACCCCCAGGCTCTGCATCCCCAGGCTCAGCACCCCCAGACTCAGCACCCCCAGGCTCAGCAC